CGTCAGATATTGCTTTAGGTCGACCGCTATGAGGTTCATCTTCAAGGCTGAAATCTCCAGAACGAAATTTGTTGAGCCATTGCCGCACAGTGCTTTCTCTAGCACTATTGGGCCCCCACACCTGGTTAATTTGTTGAGCTGTTTCGATTGCGGATTGCCCCAATTTATAGTCGAAGAAAAAAATCGTCCGAAGTGCTCTTTTCACATGCTTGAAAAAATCTTGAAAAAAGGGGTTTATCAAGCAATGGTGAAACGGCAATTATACCATCAGATAGCGCAAGAAATTCTCTACAGGATGTGCTACTGAGAAGCAAGGCAGAATGAGTTTTTAATCAGCAGTGAATGTACAAAAAATAGGTGCACAAAACGCTGAGAACTTTCCGGACAACCTAATAGATGACTTGTGTAATGAGGGCTGCAGAAAGAAGGTCAAAGGCATGAGACACGATAATTTGGTACGCGGTCTAAAATGGTAGCAGGGGTGCTATATAATGGGGAAATGGCGAAAAAGCGATGTGAAAAGGTCACGAACCTGCAAAAAAAACTTCGTTCTACACGACTCCAACAGCGATTTCTAATGAGTTTCCCGTTGGCATCGTGCTAACAGTCGCTGCTGCAAATACATACGGCTGCATGTATGTGTATTCCTTATCCGTGACACGGAGTAGGCGTGTCATTTGGTCATGAGTTACTCGTGGGATATTTCAACTTGGGACAACTGTCATCTTGTTCTTTGTTAGAAAAAGACATGACTACAATTTGTCCTCAAAATGACGACTATATCTCACAAAGCGCCAGTCACCGCCACGTTTGGTTGAAGTACGCAGCCACGCCTATCTCATCTTAGGGATTGCTAGTGTACGCATACATGCACTGCGAAGCATATTATAGTTCCATCCCATGATTCTCACAAAATGCGTTTCACGCATACGTTTTTGAAAACCTGCTCATACAGAAAAATGTGGTAATAAGCCAATACCAATTCGCATGAACACCAAACTCTACCTTGAAACTTTTCCTTGCGATAATGTGTTTCTGATAAGGAAAAATTCAACTGCGACGGCTCCGACGAGAAAAACCGCTTTCCGCTGGCACGACATTGGAAAAGAAAAGGCAGAAATTCTCTTTCTTTCCTTTTTCTTTTCTTTTTCCGGGCAGAAACTGAAAGACGATGATCTGGGCTGCCATTCGATGAGATGGATTTATCTGAGATGCGCCTCCGTATGAAAAATAAATGATTTCTTCCGTCATCTAAAAGTCACGCGACAACGTCTCCTTCTGGCGTAGAAATCAGCAAGAAAGTCCCGTTTTCATGCAGGATAATGCACCAGTTCATGACAGTCGAAGCACTCGAGCGTGATTCAGTTGTCACCAAACCGCTCTTTTGCCCTGGCCAGCGAGTAGCCCGACTGAAAACCCAATCGAGGATGTGAGGGGCTTCATGGTGCGTATGATCCATTGAGGCAAAGTAATGCCACAAATTCCATAATGTCCGTGAGTGAGGGAGTTGATCCATAGGACAATCGGCCGAAAGCCTATTAAGATCTCTAATCGAACATGGGCAACCGTATTTTCCAACTTAATTGAGAAATAGAGCTTCCAATAGATTACTGGATCAAAATTTATTCATTTTATTGTACATTTGTTGTTGGAATATTCGATTTGTTCGGTGGAACTATACTTTTGCTGCGTTGTCAGAACGGACCATTTTAAAAAAATTGACAGAAAGAACAATGTTTTTTCAAGTTATCTGTTTTGTTGGCATGCGAATAGGTATTGGTATTACCACATTTTTTCATGGGGGCATTTTGGAAAACTCCGTGTAAGACAGGATTTTGTGAGATTCATGGGTGGAACTATGATTATGCTTCGCAGTGTATATCCATGCAGCACCGCAGCCGCTTCATATCAATCCCTTCGCTTCATATTTTACTTCGCAAATGAAGCAATACGAGCATCAGGTACGGTCGTCCATTTGTGGGCGGGCGCGCGGTGGGCGTCCGGGTCGGTATGTTGTAGCTTGATAGGGCCTTATAAGGGTACCTTCCTTGGAAAAGGCGCTACACAGCGTCCGCTCAGGATCGCCGAATCCGTCCCGCTAGGCGTTATATTCCTACACATCTTGAGGACTGATCGTGCCACTTGCCTTTGAGCTTAGCTTCCATTAGTTGACAGTGTGACAGAAGTTCGGTCTGAAACCGTTCCAATACGTGATCAGCCCTGGCCTTCGAAGTTTTATTCAGCTCCCTTGAATCGTCTAACGTCTTGTTGCCAAGAAATACCATTCACTGAAAATCGCAAAGATTACAACGTCACGTGTCCCGCATAAAATGATTCACAATAAAAAGAACGATTGCGAAATGCGAGACAGCTGAAGGAATGACGCGAGCGCCTTTGAAAAGTGTTATGACTCACAAAATAGGAATTTAAGTGATGTAACTATCTAGAAAAGAATCACACGTTTACGTTCTTGGTTCTGACACACATAAGGAAAGGCCGTACTCGACAGTCTCGCTACGAGCGTCAGCTTCTGGTGCAGAAGGACTGGATGTAAAGAGCGCGGCGCACTCAACTCCAATTTTCGAATGTATTTTTTTGAGATCCTCGTAGATAAATGAAGGCGAGCTCTTGCAATGAAGCTTTTGTACTTCATTCCCGTGCTTGATGACATGAAGCACCAAGAACTTCTCCACTCACAACTCCATTAGAAGGGTTACGGTATCAGCAGAACGTGGGTGCCAGCAGCACGGAGGCAGTCTGAGCTGCAACACTTGGCCACCACTGAACCGTTGTCGTCATATGGACAGCTGGTGGCACTGTGATGAACAGGTAGACATTTCAACTGGAGAAATTTCGCAAAACTGGAGTATCCGAAAAACATTGTGTAGTCTTGGTTTGGAGCACCAAGCACCCTTTCCTGCCCTTTCCCACAGAAATCGCGCAGAATTTACCGAAATTTTTCACGAAGGCGAGCTAGGCTGGAAAGTCGCCCTCGACAATTAGTTTGTTAATTTACTTTAATTTTCAAAAAAATCTCACTAGGAACTATGGTTGTGAGGGAACAAGCTTCCCAAGCGACCAAGGAAATCTGTTTATTCAGGCTCGGATCGTAACAAACAAGGTCGAGCCTATAATCCGGGTCGACCGCTAAGCATGACGGATCGGGAACGAATACTGCAACTCTACGAAAAAGGCCACAAAATCAGTCACATCGCAAGAATGATCGGAGTGACACATAGTTGTGTGTCAAAGATTATGACAAGGTAAGTTTTAACGTACAGTCTGAGGGGAAGGGGTGGGTTTGGCGCGGCCCCAGGCTTTTTCCCCCCAATAACTCCTGGAAAAGAAGTCGATCTGTATCTAATTCAGATCATCCGGAGCTTCTATAGTATCGAGCACCTATTACTTTCTTCTTTTGGTTCAGGTTGAAAGGGGATAGGAACGAAATTCAAAGGCAAGTGAGAAGGAACTGCAGCGCGACTCTCTGGTTCATTTCTTTTGTTGCTCGATCGCTAGAAGGGGTGGCTAATTGCCTGTGCGGCTGCCCCCGCACACAATTTGTCGGGCCACCGACCCTTTTCAAAATTGCCTAATCAACAATGGCCGCTCAAGAAATTTAGATAGGGTAGGTTTAACAGCTAATCACGAATATGACATTCATTCTGTCGCTGGCGCCAAGAGAGGACACTACGATTACCTCCTGGGCTCAGCCTTAGCAGAGCGCAGATAATCGTAGTGTCATCCATTAGCGCCAGCGACAAGAGTGAATGTCATATTCTTAATCCAGGATTGTTAATATCTCTATATACAAGTTTTTAGCGGATTTGGTGACTTAGGTAATTTAAAAATGAGCTCGGTGCCGAAATTTCTGGAGTCCAAACGGCATTAGCCCCCCCCCCCCTTCTAGCGAATCGAGCAACAAAGAAATGAACCAGAGAGTCGCGCTGCAGTTCCTTCTCACTTGCCTTTGACTTTCGTTCCTATCCCCTTTCAACCTGAACCAAAAGCTTTGTGATCGCGATGGCTTCGGTGGAAGCATCTCATGAAATGTTTTCAATAGCAACATTGAAACCTATTATCTGAAGGATGTTCAAAGTTTATTCCTAACACTTCAACGCCATTATCGCTGTTGAAAATCTTTGTTCGATATTGGATTAATGGCTTGATCGGGAAGAATGGGAGAAGAAGGGAAGACTAAAGGTCCATGTTCTCGTCAGTTTCACCTTCTCGCCTAGAAGGGAGCACGCCAATGCTGCTGTAACCTTGAGGGTCTCATTTGAGAGGGGCGAAAACGATCTTAGCCCCCTCACTTTGCCTTTCTACGAGTCTATCTGTTTTGCTGGGAAATTGTAGGTAATGTGGCAAGCGGAGGCTGATTAGTCTGAAGGGGATCGTATCAGAGGCACCAGCGGAAGGGTGGAGGGGAGGTAACTGCGGGACTGGATTCCTTCAATCTTCCTTAGGGTGTCTGCTGTTTTGGAACCAG